TAGAACACATTATCTAAATGACGAAACCGTGAATTTAAAACCCACTGAATATGCCTGAAATGGTAAATCAGTGAAATTTAAACCCAGTGAAAATTAGTCATTTTACAGTATGTCTTAAAGGGGAACCGCTCAATCCCATGGATTGCACCAAAGAATCATGGGACACTATTGTTTATGTTGTTTACATTGTTAATCTATCTTTTGTTATCCATTGTTATTTTAATCCAGAAAGTAAATTTGTTGTGAAATTAATCTCAACTGGAAGGTGCCCCTTTAAACCGGAGGGGTCGTCACGCAACACATGTTCGAATTTGATGTAAATAAATAATCTGTTGTATACGCCACTTGGGACTCGCTCGTGACAACCCTTCCACTTTAATATGACGAGCACAAATTTAACGACGACTGTGTCATTTTCATGACTTGTAAATTTTTAACCCTGAAGCCAGAATCGGGGGTGCGATTACTGTTACCTATTCAGTTATATGCACAGCAATTCACACTATTGTCAAGACCATTAATGAACACAAAGAACTGGGAAATTAAAAGGATCACAAAGTTCTAATGAAAAATTAAACCAATTTGGCTGAGCCAAAAGCTAGGAAACTAGTCTATAATAGTTGACAATATTTTATTTGCCTGAGCCTTGGAATAAAATCACAAAATGATCCAAAAAGACGTAGAGATCAACATAATATAAAATATGATCGCATTATTTTGTGAATATATATCATGCATGGTCTCAGAAAATGTTCAGAAAGATTAATGTTTCGCGTAGACCAAATATAATCACGCATAAGTATAAATTCAAAGTGTTTTAATACATTGGTGAGAGGTCGCATTTACGTGAACAAGAACATGCACTAAGAAGGAAAAGCAAGCCAAAGTCGAAACGGGGTGTATCATGGACTTGGTACAACATGCGCTGCAACAATTGAGTGATCGTCGACATCATTTTGGGGCACAATTGAACTTCAAGTACGTTGCGAAACTTGCTACGCAGCGATGCTGACATCAAGTGTGTGTTGATTGAAGTTTGACCCCAAGTCACGCACTGAACTGGCGCGTTACCTTAGCAACCCTTTTCTTTCTTGGTCCGCGCTTCGATCT